TGTTGACATACCTCTACGAAGCTATCGGGAAGAGAAGATTTGATGATTTCGCAATTTTTGGCCCCCAATTTGAAAGTCAGTGTCGAAATAGATACAAGAATTATATGTGAGGTCCCCACCGTGTTCTTGGAATCGCGTGCAGAGAGAGAGAGAGAGAGAGAGAGAGAAAGAATAGCAGTGCGCTCATATACAGAGACCGTGTGCGGGAGCTGCTCCATCCCGTAATTACCTTCCCTCTTTCGTTTCTTCCATGCCGGAGCAACAGTAGTGCAAGTAAACTCGCGAGAGCAAGTTCTCTTTTTTTTTATGTTTCTCTACTTCTCCCTTCGGATGAGAGGACCGATGCTCCAGCCGAGATCCTTTGCATGCATAAGCACTGAACGCAGGTCACCTCCCTTTTTTCTCTCATTCCCCTGCTAGCTCTCTCTCTCTCTTCTCGTTCTCATTGCTCGTTTCGCATTGATTTCCTTTTTCTCGTCTTCAGTTATTTTTTTTAAATCTTAATTGATGTACTTTTTTTTTGCAGCTTTTCTCCCAAGAGAATGTGTTTTTTCCACGTTCGTTTGTCCTAGTATTTATGTGGCTTGTGTACGCGGTGTCAGTGATACACGCGTGACTTGTGCGGAGAGATAATCAAATGAATTAACAGAAGTCGTGTCTCTTTCTTGTCACCACAGATTTTACTTTTCTAATGGTAGAAAATAATCTGCCGATACAATTTTCCACAGATCCACGTTGGAAATCACGCGATGGGCAAAGGAGTCATGCGTTGGATGCTCGGCCATAACGATAACAAGATAAATTGTACCGTTAGGCTTGGGCGCGCGTAATCTTTTTCGGTGGGAAAATGAGTCCATAACCCGTGATCGTGACGGACTTACCAAAAAATTTATAAATGTAAGAAATGTAAATTCGTCATAATTAATTACATTAATTTTTAACAATCACTTTTTATTTTCCNAAAAAAAAAAAAAAAAAAAAAAAAAAAAAAAAAAAAAAAAAAAAAAAAAAAAAAAAAAAAAAAAAAAAAAAAAAAAAAAAAAAAATAGAAACCGTGGCGTCCGAGAAAAACACACGAAAGCCAATGCATTCGAAGAGCCTCGCGATCGTTAAAGCTAAGACGGCCTACATTGTAATCGCCAAGAAAATACAACACCACCGCGCCGTGCGAAACAATCCGACGTATCGTAATCCAGCGTACGTGTCCCTATGGTTGTTGAAACAAACGCTTGAGGGGCGCACGGGGTCCAGATTTTCCCGTATTCATTTTGTCCCCAACGAAAAAATGGCCCCTCGCTCCCACCCAAAAGCTCTCAGTCCGAACGACTTGCCGACCGGGAGATCCACTCCGCTGACGGAATTCCGTGTACGCTGACGCACGTGGCAATCGTGGAGTGCCCAGGACGAGACAAAAATCCAACCGAAAGCGACAATCGAATTTTACGATCCCACCATCGTCACGTCTATACCGCGTGTGCGGACGGCAATATCATATTCGAAAGCCAATGTTGGCTGGTTTTCACGCAACGGAGGAGGATATAGACACGTACAAACGGATCGTGCGGTGGAAAAAGTGCTCGGCACCAATGCCCCTGGATAAGACCGCTGCAAGCTCCACTCGCGTCCTGTAATGGCTCATGTGCGTACGCACACTGGTCAGTTCAGCCTATACGTTGGTACAAAGCTCGAGAGATGCCTTCCCTCGTGTTAGTTACAAGCACACGTTACAAGGCCAGTAAAAAAGGACGAAGCGGGGGGGGGGGTGTCTCTTCCATGGTAGTACAAGGAAGAATCGGCTCAAGATGGGATGGAGAAGTGAAATGGAGGAAGGGGAGTGAATGAGTCCGTGTGTGGCGCAAGAGGTGCTCGGTAATGCGATACGAGCTCGTTGAATACGAATCGTTCCAGGCTGGGAAGGAAAGCGGGGTCAGGGGCTAAAAGGCCGCCACTGTGGATCGCGCTATTGTCCGAGAGCCCATGTGAGAGGCGGATGGGCTGGATCGTCCAAGCTTTCAGGAGAGCTGGAGAAATTATGCGATCGTAGGGGAGACGAGGTGGCCTGATCTAAGGTATTTGGCAAAAGGAGTTGCAACGTATGTATATACAGTTTAACTTGTGTAAAGGTGATAGCAAGGGTGGTGGATACAAGTCAATGATAATAATGTGGGATCACTTTGCAGCTGGGTATTGCTAAAGTGTCAATTCAATGAATACCTCAGTAAGTGAGATATTTTTACGGTACGTTATTTGAGTACGGTAGGTTTGATGATGGTCCGTCTACATGTAACCTAAGCTGATGCATGAAATACACAAAATTTCGCTCCAGCATTTTAGTTGCCGCTATGTATCGGACACGCTAACCAGAGTTGAATTGACTTTATTTTAATCGTAATTATACATTTCTGGAAACTCCATATGATCATTTACTTTTCTGATATAGTAGTAAGTTAATCAGGTGAGAGTACTTTTATGAATACTCCCGTGAAGAACCATCATCGCTGTTATCTATCTTGAAACAACCGAACCGCAATATTGAGACATAAATTCCAGCGCGAGTGAAAATAGATAATGTATCCATGAAAACATTTCCGATCAGTGATGCTCCATACCTAAAATCCAAAAACGATAGAGATACTCACGCCAGAGGAGCAAACGATGATGATGTGAGCCCACGTGCGTAAGCTTGCACGATCGCGTGCATATTCGAAACGGTCGGGGCACAGGGGAAAATAAAAGACAGTGAATCAGCATGAAGCGCCAACCGTCGAGCCAAAGGGCCGAAACATGTATACGTTCACGTGTAAACTACGCCGGCGAAGGTATTAACGCTTGGTTTACAGCCGAGGACCGGCATCGGCGTAAGACCGGCTCGATGCTTTAATACTTATGTCGGGCGCTCGGCGTCGCACACGCTATATAATACATCCGAGCTTTACTGGTACACGTATCGCGTGGGTGCACCGCGAAGATCACGTACGTCGCATGGGCGTAAAACGTCACAAATAAGGCTACCTTGGTATTTTCGGCGAGAGGTCCAATAAACCGAGTCCGCACATGGCGAGGCGAGCGTTAAATACTGCAACTGCACTCGGACACGTCGGATGGGAGGTGTTGATACGAGGGCGAGAGCCGTGGTTCATCCGTGCTTTTGTCGACTTTTCCACTGGATTATTAAACGAGGAATTTTTCTTTTCCGCTGAAGAGACGTTGTTGCCATTCGTTCTCGTCCCTGCACCTCTTGGGATGAAAGGTTTTTTTGTACATACGTCCAGTGGGGGCATGGAATCGATAACAACGAGTCACGTCGAGACCCTCTTATTTATGAAAGGCAAGTGTAATCGTTAAATTCTCACCAGAGCGACTCTAGTTGTTGCAGTGGGAAAACAAAGAAAGTTCGAAGCAGTTGTACAACAAAGCCCGACTTTTTCACAATTCATCGCATTCTACCCGCACCCTTATATACCCTACTCGAGTCACTTACAATTTTCATCGAGTTTTGTTCTTCCTCCCAGCCAAGGCCTGGGTCTTCTTTTCGTTTTATTACTGAAAAATTCGTAGGTACACACAAAACAACTTTCGCCAAGCGCGCCCCATCAAATCCCGCTCTTGCATTTTTTACGCGAAGGCACTTAATTAAAATTGCAACTCGCACAAAAACGCACCCTCCCCCACCCCACCACCACACCTTCCAAGTCGCTAAACTTTCATAAATCGCTTCATTTATGCAAACTGCAAAGTTCCATGCATAACTTGCCAATTTCTCTCTCGGGTGTGGGAGGGCATCGCGCGAAAATTAACAAACACGCCGACTTTTCCTTGTCCGTTTGGATTTTCATGCCCACCTCCACCCCTTCCCAGCACGCCATCCAAGTTTTTAACCCAACCCGGCTGTATGCATATAGTGTACAGCCGCGCGTCTTGTGTATCTTCGTATTAAAGTGTAACTTCGCTTCCTACCAATTATATTTTCCTCTTTCCCGGAGAGAACGAAAAAAGAAAACAGGTGGTGCGAACAAAAAAATTTTTTTTTTTTCTTTTCTTTTTTCCATCATCCGCAGGGAGAAAAACAACGAGTGGGGTTGCCGTTCTTTTTGCGCATATGTATATATTTACTACTCGGGCGTTACGGTGCTTCATTTTATAGTTATACGCAGAGAGGACACTTTTACTATACGTGGCTGCCGTTGGAGCATATAGGAAGAGGAGAGCGAGGCCAGTAGTTCGCGGCCCGCGGACGTTTATTGTCTTTTATACTCCTCCACCTCTACTCCTCTTCTCATTCCCTCCGCGTGTGTGTGAGCGTAGCCCTCCGAGAGAGCTCGTTTGTTTATTTATACGTACGTACACGCGGCGACGCTTGTAATGCCAAGTGCGAACGCGCGAAACAAATTTCCTCTGTTTTATTGCCATTAGTTGTTCCCGCTCGTGCCCACGCGATGCCGGATATAGGGAGTCGCATTAAAATTTGCCGGCCGATTATTTCCTCCCCCCCCCCTCTCCCTGCCTGGCTCAGCTTGGCTCGATTGAGCACGTGTATGTGTACACGCGTCTCTCGGCTCCTGCCTCGTATTTTTATTTTTAATTATTCACGAGCTGCTCTCACACTGCTCTTTCTCCTGTTTACGGTATTTGTAAGATGTTACTACATCCAACGTGCCTTTGAACATTTATTTTTCACTCTGGCTTACAAATAAATATATTTCGTGCTTTAAAAAATACAACTTCAATATCTAGGCCATGGCCGTCCGCACGTGTAAATTATGTATTTTGCACGCTAAATTTTTACGCAAATTTAGAGAATCAGGCCTTCAAATTTTGTAAATTCTATGTACTTTTTTTTTTTTTTAATTTAAAAAATTTTTTTGGTGATAAACTATTAAAACGACGTTTCAAAAAGGTATGAAGAAAAGGGGGTTTACACTAGATTAGCCCAAAATACATATATACACACGTGACTCTAAAAACTATTTTGCGTAATGATTGTGAGGAGTACAACTTACTTGGTGTAGAATCCATCTCCACATTCGTGACATACGTATTTTCGTTCCCTCGCGTCCTTGGTAGCTTCTACACCAGCAGAATCGGAGCACTTGTTGCAATGGCCAGCCATGTCACACCTGCGCACGAAAGTGGCTCTGCAATGGGTACAGGAATAAGGACGTTCCCCGGTATGCACTCTCAAGTGTTCCCTCAAGTTGAACTTGGAAAATAACTTTTGGCACAACGGACAAGGGTACTTTGGTCTGTCGCGCGTCTTCCTCCCGGCTCCGGGTGCAGAGTCAATCTCAACGGGATTCCCGTGCAACACTTGGTGGAACATAAATTCAGACTCCGACTCCGTATTGAAACAACATTTATCGCACGCGTACGCAGCTGCGGCATCAGCGGTGGTAACGTTGCTTCGTGAGCAGCGATTGTCTCGCGTGTGAGTCGTGACGTCTTGCGGGATGGCAAACTTTTCCCCGCACTTGCCACACCTGTACACAACACGCGGGTAAAGCACACGCTTTTCAACCCTATATTTTTTCTTCATCAAAATCATTCAGTCTTACCTGTGACACAGCTCTAAGTGCGTGTCGAACATGTGCCGTTTGAATTCAGCCAAATTGCTTAGCGTCTCCTTGCAGTGTGCACAAACGCGCTGGCAAGACCCCTTTTTCGAACTTTTGACCTTTTCCTTGTGACTGGATGTGCGCCTGTGGCCGACGGCTTTTCTCTTGGTTTTGAAATTCGTCGAGCAGAACGAGCAAAAGTACGGATTGAGGTCATTGGGGTGGGGCTCGGTCTTGTGCTGGTTGAGCTGGTGTCGTTGCAGAGCGAGCTTGGAACGGGCCACGTGCTCGCAATGGCTGCATTTCATGATGCATTGGTACTCGTCGGAGGCGCTCTCGTCGACCTCGTGACCGGTTTCCCTAGCGTGTACGCGAAGCTGAACGTTGTACCTTTTTGGGGACAAATTATACGCTTTTTCTTTTCAATTATCATTAACTGGTTTACATTTCTATAGTTTTTTTTTTTATCACGGTTAATTTTGGCTTGATTACTAGATAATGAAAAATTTGCTCAGGTAAAAAATGCACAATGATGTACCGAATGTCGTTATAATCAAGAGGTTGTTATTGAGCACGATTGTCTCGATTGAGCTGTTACGTTCGGATGTAGGTGCTCGACCGAGGTTGAATTAATAATAACACTCGTTTGGATACACGGCAAGAGCCGCGCGCCTTTTTAAATCGATCGCGGACAAGAGGAGAGATGAAGAGAAGGGCAGAAGAAAAAAAAAAAAAAAAAAAAAAACCAAGGAAAATAAGAATTCAAAAGGGGTACGAGTATACGTGTACGCGATACGGACGCGCTGCACAAGCAAACAATGGGGTAAGGATTTATATATATATATATATACGCGCACTCACCTGAATGGCTTGCAACAGGCGGAGCACGCGAGTATCCGCTGGCGACGAATGACCATCGGCACGGAGCCATTAATCATTGAAACGGCATCTCGATGACCTTGTTCCATTATGTGCACCTCCACGCTCTCGTTATCTTTGCACCAGAAATCGCAAAGGGCGCACACGAAGCTCCCGCCGATCTGTGTGACAAACCATACAACGTTTCCCGATATGAACAACAACAAAAATAGTACATGCCACGGATTATAGTGCCAGCCGATAGATTGGGGCACTCGCGTATAAATTTCATCAATATGTCGGGTATAAATAATAAGCAGCGAGCTTCAATGGATTATCGGGAATTCATTCCGAGAAGCGATACGTTTCAGGCGACGAGATAAATTAAGAGCCAGTGACATTTAACGGGTGTCACTTTGCAGTGGGTCCGTGTATGGTATTGTCAATTGGAAAAATTAATAATATTATGACTTATTGTCACATTGTCAGGTTTACATGGAAATCCATGTCCGCGATGCATATATGGTAGAGCCAATAGGTAAGTATATTATGTACCATCAACAATTACAGTTATTATTTAAAGACTCATTGTATTATATTAAGAAAAATAGTAGTGGCATCGTCCGTAATACTAAATTAATGGCCCTTGTATACTCAAACCGAAAATTTACAACGTTAACAACTCTATTGTACCCTAATCACATAGATTCGATTCTTAAAAATGGAAAACAAAGAGAGTATGAAAAAAAACAAAAAAACAAAAAAAAAAACCCCTCATGCATTGATCATTGTTATCGTAATTAAAAATTACGTCTACGAAAGGGACGTTATCAATCTTGCAGCACCTGTTGCACCAAACAACAAAAGAAGACTCCACACACACCCACACACACGATAAATACATGACACAGGAAGAAGATCAACAGAGAAGGAGAGAGCTCTTATACCTTGGAAACCACGTGCCTGTGGTCTTGGGAGCGCCAGTGCCTAAGGAACGTGTCCTCGGTGTTGCAATAAAATCGACAAGGGGCACACTGGAAGGGACACTGGCGCACGATGTTGGCCATGTTCTCGAGCAGGAAGCGCTGGTGCTGTTGTTGCTCGCGTTGCGTGTCATTGTCGTCCACCTCGTGGCTCCGTGTAGTAGTTGTTGTGGCGGCGGCAATGGCACCTGCTACGCGACAGTGATAGTGCGAGAGTAGATGCTTGCCCAGTTGGGCGCGGCGCACGCGAGCACGGCACATCTCGCACGTGAGTACCTCCTTCTCGCGCCTACGGCGCCGGGGATTTTGCGACGAATGCCTTTGCTCTTCCGATGCTGTACTCGATGAGGATGGCGCGGATACTGAATCCGCCAATGACGACGTCGTGCTCGTTCTTTTCTGGTGGCATATCGTCGTAACTTTGACATTTTTTTTCATCCTCTCAATACACCCGTAAGATTTCCGAGAAACTTCCAACTTGGAGGCCTCGATCATGACAATTGCCACAATTTTAAAGATCTCCAATTCATGACTCGAGAAAAGTCCAAAGTCTCGTATTCTTTTAATGATTTTCAAACCATCGAGTCATTAAAAAAAATTAACCAATAACTCTCTCTTAATTACGAAATATCTTCCTTTTGACGATTTAGGAATCCATGGATAAGTTGAAATGGTTGAAATACGACTGCCAAGTTAAAAAATTTTACAAGACTTTCGCAATCGTTATAGACTTTTACAAAATTGTGGGCCTCTCGGGAATTTCATTGAATAATTATCGTCAAAAAACCACTGCAATTAATCGAGATGATCGTGTACCTATTGTCGCGTAGGGAACAAAATAAACCGGGGAGGAAAGAAGGACTTACGGAAGCCAATACCCTCTGCCGGCGGCTGAGAGCCCTGGGCGGCACGAGACCGTCGATTTCCTGGATGCTCCTGCGGGCGTGCAACTCGGAGGCGAGGTGTCGCTTGTAAACCAGCTGTGAGGCCAACTTTCGACCGCAAGGACTGCACCAATATCCCGTGGCCACGTCGGCCCGCGCACCCGGAACCCACTTGCCGTGGGTGTGGTCGGGCGGTGGTTGCTGCAACTGACGCCTCGTTTGACTGCACTCCGAGTTATCTTGCTTCTATCATCATTAAGTTGTAAGATTAATATAACCACTGTACAACGACAAGTCAACTCGACCCCTTCAAACTTTACCGTGAACACCCGAACAGCGGTCGAGTCGGCTGGATTCCACTTGCCACCGGTGTAGCTGGGATGTGGATGATTGTCGTGGTGATGCTCGGCCACGTCCGTGTCGAGCTCGTCGTCGTGCATGTCCTCATGAACCATGCCAGGGGGTCGCCACTTACCCCCCGTATGAGTCCCAGGTGGATACCTGTAATCCACGTGGTCCTGGTCGTCCGAATCTGAGTACGAGTCGTCGTCGAGCGTGACATCCTGATCGGTGCTGTCCTCCATGTCGTCCTCCTGCTCGTAATCTGACTCGGCGGCGTACCTGTCCAGGTGGTGCATCTCCTCGCTATATACAGACTCCTCGAGCCAGTCCGAGTGCGGATACTCGCCCCTCCTGCCCTGGCTGCTGTCATCGTGCTTGGCCTCCTGTTTGTGGGGCACGTTGGTCTTGGAGCTGCCAGTCCTGCCGTCGTCGACGGCCTTGTCCATAGACACAGCGGTGGAAGGAACGGGGCTCATGGTTTGGGTGGGATTGGCGGAAGTGGTGGCCTCGGCGGGACCGAGCTCGGGGAATACCAGGGAAGCCAGGTCGTCGATGTCGTCGACGGCCGGCAGGAGGTGCGGTATTTTGTCCTTGGGCTCGTTCTTCATGCCGTCCGGGCTCTTGATGTCCCTGCGCGGTCTCTTTCGCCGCTCCTCGGGACGGCACGGTTGCTTCGGACGCACGTCCAGCAAGTCGGCCGCTCGAGGTGGTTGTGGCTTGGTGCTGCTCTGCAGCTCCAGAGAACTGAAGAAGTCGTCCGCGTTCAGGCATTCGGGGTAGGAGACGCTGCTTGGCGGTGGGCAGTCGTACACGCTCTTGTTTTCCGTGGTTGTGCGGCATCCGGACTGCCGATGCCTGACGTAGTTGTCCAGCCCAGTGATGGTCAAGTGGCACTTGTTGCAGTAGTGCGTGTCGTCGTCTTCCTCGTAGGATTCCATTTAGGCAAATGCTGGAAGGAAACGTGGTCTCTGAAAAAGTGTTTACAGTTTTTGGTTTCTTCCAACAACCATTTTCTCTCGTTAATAATTCGAGATTGCTTGGTTCTACTCGATCATAAAAATTCCTAAAGAACACGACGATCTCATTTATTATTAATGTAAATGCTTTACCTGGTCAAGTTGTGATATTATCAAATGATTCTTTTTTTTTTAACGATTTGTTTCAAACAACACTTTTTCATAGAAATTAAAATTTAATACAAATAATTGTTGTTTTCGACAAAATTTATACCAAGAATTATGATGTTCTTGTACACTTTTAAATGGGAAAGGTGAGTGAAAAGTAATGAAAAATGAGTTTGCAATAAATCGAAACGACCATACAACGGTCATTGCGTCGATTTCGAGTTAGGAGTAAAAATTCAAGTACAGAATGAAGCGGCTTGCAGTGCACAGGAACCCCGTAAAGTGCGACCAGCCGTTACCGATAAATAACTGCCGACTCGACAAGCAAATTGAATTCGCAAAGACACAAAAATTCGTTCCTTATTATTTTCGGGCCCATAAGTTCCCGACCCAATCGACGAAACATCTTATCACCGAAACACTATTCCTCTTTCCCCCCCAAAAACTTATTCCTACAAAAAAAAAAAAAAAGAAGGCCACCCGATTGACCAAGCAAAATTAAGATTACTCGAATCGTTCGATGACTCACGTATCAAAGGAAAAGGGGGAAAAAAAAAAAATCCCGACACCAGATCTCGCGACGCGACTTATCTCGATCTTACACACGTACGGCAGCATCTCGAGTTTCTCCGGTGTCGCGTGATAAAAGTAAAAACGAAGCGTCCGAAAGATGGAAAATAAATCGACTCGTACCCATACACACACACGCACAAAGGCACGCCGGCCCGAGATGCAAGGACGAGGCGAGCGGGGCGAAATTATACAAGAATCGGGCGCGCGCATTCGGCGTGGGCAGCTAATTGCGTACAAAACTGTCCTTCGTGCGGGCGCGTAAAAATAAATTTGTCGGCGAGCAGATAAGGGGCCTCCGTCTTCGTCCGCGGCACCGGGGCTCACGGGGAACACGCGAATTCAATTAGAGAGACGGAGACTCGTATTTCCATTCGGTTGCAGGCGCGGAGAGTTTTTGGGGCGAAAACGAGGCAATATGGGTACACGTACGCGTGCGTGTGGCGCGGGTACCGCAGTCTTTGGGAATAAATAATTAATCGAAGAAAACGGGGAGGCTGACGAGGAGTGGGGCGGCAAAAAACACGGGTACTTACTAATGATGCAGAATTTTAAATTGAATAACGCGTTGGCACGCGAGGATGCACGGGAGACTGGCTGACTGTACTGCCGAGGCGTGGGGTAGGATGATGCTGATGCTCGTTTTCGTCAAGTTCGTCTTATTTTCTATTAAAATACATCAATGGTCTTATTTTGCGTTACATTACTTACATTTAACGGTAATTTATCGTGATTTTATGCGTGACAGAATTAGGTGTAACAGTAAGGAGGGGTACAATAGAATGTACGATTTCGCTCTATTTCGTCTGTCTTTATTTGACAGGCCAATGGGAGCCAATGGACATACAAGCTGATAAACACATACACCTGTGACCAGCAAAAAGGGTGTACCTATTAAATTATTTATTGAAAAAAAAGAGTTGAATTTTATTGAAAGAACCACCTTCAGAGACAAGACTTATGTCTAATTAAATATTTGAATCAATACAGACACGTCTGCTACATTCAGAATAAGTTGAAAAATTTACGAAAATAATTATTTATGAAACGACAGAGCATATTCGTGGAATCACTACTTTTTGGAATATTGTAAGTGGTAAATGTCATTAAAACGCGACAGTCCAGATGTTTAAATTATAAAAGGCAGACGTTTTGCACGGTTCTTTTGTAACGGTGTTGGGTCTCGGGTGTAAGCTCATTCCTACCCGAGCATTGGACATTGTTGACGATTGGTCGCTTTGTCTCAACAAATAAAGTATACTTGAGCAAACTCCGTTATCGATTAACCTTTTGCTAAACTTATCCACCCAAACATCCAAGAAGTTTGACTAAACCTTGTCCAAACTTTCGAGATTCCAGACACATTCCATCGAAGTTTAAGTTGCACCCCCTTTATTATTCGCCATTAATTGTTTTAGTACGAGACTGGCAACGCAAGCTGCATGCGATGTGGCTGGGTTCGTACTCATGACTCCATCATGTACGAACACAATCGATGGTTAAAAAATGAAAAAAAAAATCCCAAGGGAGAGAGACGGAAGTCATAGTTGAGAAAGCTCGATCCCCAGATGCTAAAACTCTCAAACGCACAGGCGGCACGAGCGAAGAAAGGGCGCAGAGTACACCCTGTATGGAAGAGGGAGAGAGAGAGAGAGAGAGTCGTATTTTAACAATAATCTCGGGGATTGCTCGGTTGGCTGGTACGTGTACATATACATATCTCCGTGTGATATTCAAACGATACACCCAAGGATGGCAGAAGTGCAGGTGTAGCGTGCAGCGATCCCCTTATCTCGCGAAATTAAAGGCAGGCTCTATCTCGTCTCGGTTTTAAGTACCCCGCGCTAAAGTGACTTCTGCTCTGCTCGTCCTAGCTCTCTACACTCTTCCCTCACGTCACGTCTGGTGTTCCCGGAAAACCGGCGCGTGTATATATGTATGTATAGATTACACCACCACGACAAAGATACCGCGCGATACAGATACACAGGTTGCAGAGGTAATACGGACAAGGGGGATGAAGTGGGGGTCGGGGTGGCTCGACAACACACCAGCCGAATCGCGGAAATGTGCGGTATAGGTGAATACATACGGACGAGGAGAAAGACACGCGTTAGGACGATTCGCTGGGGGACCATTGCCTTTGGGCTGTAGACGCACGAATGGTTGGCTGGCTGATTATCGGCGAGTTCGAGCTTTTGACGTCGAGCTTCCCAAAGAACCATACCACCCCCCCCCCCACACGTAGCTCGGCGGAGTTGGCAAATTGAACTCGATGTATATTCGCGAGTACACCTATATACATATTTGTGGATGCGCGAGGGACGAGCTTTGGGTTTCACGTGCGCGTATGGAACACGGACGGGAGGGTGGCCGGCTCGGTAGATCGGTCGATGCCGCTCGGCCGTTATTCGGACGACGACACTTTGCCTCTCTTCTTCTCCTTCTTCTGCCTCCATGTATACATATGTATGTATATACTCCCACCGAATGTCTCTCTGTGTGTGTACGTGCACCGCTGCGCGTGTGCGCGTGTTTAGCATCACCTTCCCCTTCGGACCGTGTCTTTTCCTTCCACCCCCGCGTCAACCCCTAGACGGTATATACCCACGCGTACTTGCTCCCTCTCGCGCTTTCTCTTTGCGCTTAGTCTTCGTCTCTCGCCTCTATCGTTCCCCTTTCGCTCCGACGGGGGATTGTATCGCAGCGTGGTGAGAAGAGGGAGGATAGTGGGAGTTTTACCCCCCCCCCTTTTACATACATGATACAAGGGAGTACCACTGGAAATTATTGGGTGATACTCTTTCATTGGAGAAAAAATAATTGTTCATGCAAATTATCATCCGATTGTTCTTGACATCAATGTACACCTTGACCGTAACATTTATAGTTTTCATTTCGCACTGCATAAATAAATAAGATTATCAACCGTGTACATAAGAATTATCAATGTGTATTTTGGTGTATTAAAATTACTTAACGATTCCAAAAGGTGTGTGCCTTACCTTTACCTACTCTGGTCGAAGACACAGTACATCTTCAACTCAAACAAGGCCATTAAGGGCAAAATCGCGGGTCACCATCATAGAACATCTCTTCTATTTAACATCAATGACCCACGAGGCCTTTCTGTTACATGAATATCACGTTTCGCTTTTTAGAAGAATAGTTGTACCATAAAAACCAAACAATGACTTTATCTACCCATTGTCCCGTGGAATTAACGGAATTAGTTTTCGATTCTATCAATCACTCGCATGACAGATAAAAAAAACCTTCGAAATTGCACCTCGTACTAAGATCGATCGGGTTATTGGAGATTAGAAACAATTAATCCCTCACCAATGAGAACACGATTCAGGAAATGCTGCTCGTCACGATCAATACGCACTGATTTTCTTCTCTCGTCCCTCTGATGTAACTCGTTTTGAATTATGTTACAATAGATATTACCGTGTCACCTCTTTTACGAAACGTATCGATATTTTATTTGACCATTACTGTTGCCTTTTTTAATTAAGACCGTATTTACAAAGGAAAGGAAAAAAGTAGAACATACTACCGATTCACACAAACGTCCTCTTCGTATCAGGTAGTCCATCTCCTTTAATCAAAAATCTTGAGCAATTGTCAACACATCGATACCGTCGCAAATGAATCGAGTATAGAAATTTATGGATAGAAATGATATAGAGACACACTGATGACAATATAGAAAGTTCAATCTCGTCGTTTGTCCTCTAACATAGATTTTGTAAACAGTACAGGTATGCAGACAACGTACCTGCTCTGTTGAAAAAAATCACCTGATGTTTCAAATACCCCCTGGTAATTTTCAAAATATCTACAAACCTAGTATTAAAAAAAATTTGTCACCGAATGGTTGAAGAGCACGTGTGTAAAGACATGATCCTTCGTGTTAGGGAATAAGACTCCCGTGAAAGTGAGAAATCCAGGATGTAGGGGGGGGGGGATATTAGGACAAAAATTGTCGTTTAGTACGGGAAAATCACCGCTCGTCAGGACGTATTTCTACCTTCTTGGAGAGGAAAAAAAAGGCTCATTCGACAAAAGTCCCAAGCTATCGTTGTGGTGGATCTTCGTTGTCCTGCAAGATAGCTGCTGCCTATCCATCATTTTGCACCGCGGCTGATCGGGACGTGAGAAGATTAGCAGATCTTGGATCCCGGATAACCGATCGGATTCCACATTAGGGTGGTTCGTTAACCGATCGGTACTATTGA